CCTGGCCAGATTAAGCTGGGGCACCAACAGCGTGGAGAGGAAGCCTCCTGCAGCCGCACAGAGGCTGGAGGCTGGCTGCGCTCCGCAGGGGGCCGCAGGCCAGGACCTCAGCCGGGCAGTGTCTAGCAGGGCCGCGCCAGACGCTGGCTTCCTGGATACCACGTGGCCAGTCCCCCAAAACAGGCAAGCCACACAGACACACATGGCAGACCCAGGGACCACTGGGGGCGGTGGGAAGGCAGCTGCACCTCATGGTCTAGCTGCAGGTGTCTGAGCCGAGGAAGGACACGGGAGGGCGAGGGCCAGGGCCTAGCTGTCCCCACCGTGTCCTCCCCCAAGAAGCTTCCTCCTGGCTGGCCTGGGCTCAGGTCACGAGGGTCTGGCTGTGTCTTCCCAGGCACAGGAGGGCACTGTCTGGGTCTTTTTCTTTTAGGGATGATTTTGCAGGACCCGCTTTTAGCTTCATCACCAATGGACAGAGCAGCTCCTTGGCTGAACACCAGATGTCCGCAAGCCCCAAACATGGCCTTCTCTTCCCTGTTTTGCAGGCTGGGGCCACCCAGGGACACTGAAGAAATGGGCCCAGCAATGCCACAGGATGCCAGGCTCTCCATAGAAGCCACAGGTGAACTGTGGTCCCAAAGTGTCACAGTCACATCTGCTTAAGCCTAAACCCACTTTGCCCCGGAAGAGCCTGAGGGCAGCGTGGGAGGCAGGCGCCCACGTGACCACCTGGGCTCTGTAACCTCAGAGGACCTGGGGCCATCTGCCCAGGCATGCCCAGCACACAGATGGGAAAACTGAGATCCTCAGGACTGTGGCCCAGAGCGAAACAAGCATAGGCCCGCTCGGCCTGGGACCAGGAATGGCCCCACGAAGATACCTGGGCACACAGGCAAGAGACAGGCAACGAGGCAACCCCAGGCCCCTGCTGTGGCCCCCGTGTCCAGGCCGTGGGAAAGCTGAAAGCAGCTGACAGAGCCTGCACATGCCCAGAGTCACTGCCCCCCAAGCTGCCTGGAGGATCAGAGGCCACCCTGGGCACTGCAGGCCACAGGGCCACCTACAGGTCAGCAGGCCCTGCCCAGCCTCCCACAGCTGCCGTGACACAGCCCCTCTCTCCAGCTCGCTCCTGC